TCAGCATTGGACCATGAGTATCTGGTTTTTTATTTGGCAACATATGGATTCAATTTTTAGACTTATAGTATGAATTCAATGTTATTATCTCCCTTGTTTCACTTGTATATGTTTAGCTAGTACTAGAATAGTTTATGTGAGGTGGATGGGGTAAGAATTATGGTGTAAGCTTTAGATCAGCTAACTTTTCTAGCTGCTGCTTTTTCTCTAGTTATGATTGTGTAGGCTACTTTTTGCCTAGTTGGGCCAAGTCATTGCCTTGTCTATTGTAACGATCCGTTAAAGTGATGTAACTTTGGAAGTTATGGTCAGATTTTCTTCAATTCTGTTGACGTAGGAGTTGTTTATTTCAGGTCCTGGCTCTTAAAGGATCTTATCATGGTGATACTTTGGGTGCTATGGAAGCACAAGCACCATCATCTTACCCAGGCTTCCTCCAACAACCATGGTATGAATTTTTTGTCACAAGATACTTGAAATATTCCAAATCTGTATTATATCTCAACTTTTGGAGTTAATCAGCATCCAATAGAGAATATAGTACTCTTACTCCAGGTTGGCATTATTCTATTGATCTATGATTCTTATTGTTTCAAGTTAAGTAATTATATTAGGTAGCACTATATTAATAATCCTTTCATTATTGGTAATGTTATCTGGATTGTATATCTCACTATTACATTATTTTGGCTTGTTAAGCAGTTTCCTAGGCCATGGAAGTGATTCTAACAAAGCTACTCCTAGTGGTAAAAGTTGAAGAAAGGCAGAGGAAAATTGGTGATGATGAATGTACATATGGATGACTTGAAGGATAATTAAGTATAGGAATTTTGATGTGTTTATTGTAATTAGGCTTGCAGCTTGTAGCTTTCATTTTTTAGATTTTATTTTGTTCTATTGTACTCTTGATATTCTATTTATGAAAGAAACAATTTTTTAGTACATATATGTACATATGTATTCCGTGGGTAATAACATATTTGAGTATATATTTCTGATACCATAGGAAACAAGAAAAAAAAAACTAAAATGTAAAACCGTAGTCTATTTCAGAAAAACCGTAGTCTATTACATTAATAGACGACAGTTCTTTTAAAAACCGTCGTCTATTACATGTAATAGACGACGGTTTTTCTGAAATAACGACGGTTTTTCTGAAATAACCGTCATCTATTAATGTAATAGACGACGGTTTTTCTTAAATAACCGTCGTCTATTAATTTAATAGACGACGATTTTTATGAAATAACCGTCGTCTATTAATGTAAAGACGACGGTTAATTACCGTCGTAGTTTGACATTCAAAAAGATGACTGTCAATTTAACGACGGTTTGAAAAAGAAAAAGACGACGGTGTTTTCCCGTCGTCTATTTCAATTTTTGTAGTAGTGGTATGTCATTGGTTGTAAAACAGCTAGGGATGCATGGTTAAGCCTTACAGATCGGTATGCTTCTGTCTCAAGGGTTCGGGTGAATCAACTCAAAACTGAGTTGCACACTATCCACAAGGGTGGTGATTCTGTAGAGAAGTTCTTGCTTCGTTTAAAACACATTCGAGACCAATTGTCTGTAGCAGGTTTTAAGCTCTCTGATGATGACATTATCATTGCAGCCTTAAATGGTTTACCACATGAGTTTGAAATGATCAAGACTATGCTCATTGCAAGAGAAACACCTATAGTTATAAGGAGTTTAGAGCTCAGTTGTTGTCTGTTGAAAAGAATATTGAATCTAGAATGTTAGCAATGAATCACTCCATGATCGGTATGATAAGTGTTAGTCCGTTTGAAATTGGCTCATCATCCCATTCTCAAGATGCTTCTCAGACTCAGGGTACTGCCTTTACAATTGGTATCATCACTGCTCACCCTCAAGCTTCATTTCCTATGGGCTTTACTGGGGTTAAGTCACAGACCAATACTTCTCATGGAGCTTATCAGTCATCAGAGTTCTCTCCTTCATTTTCCCAGCCTAATAATGCCTATGGTTCTACCAATCAGTTTGTTCCT